AAATACTGAATCAAGTTGGGTCGGAATATCTGCGTGCAGTTTAGAATGCTGGAGACATGAGTAACCAAGTAGCCTGACTGTGACTACGATGAGCACTACCCATGAACAACCTCCAAAATTCCCGTATGATTGCCCACTCCGGAATCTGTAAACTTAGCCATCTCTCGTAAAGGGGGTGGGGCGTTCAGAACCTGATAGCACAAGGGCAAGGGCAGAAAAAGACGCACAAGCGACGATACCATGCAAGCCCAAAATGGGTCTTATGAAGACTAACGTCCTTTCGCAGAAGATGTCGAGGATTCCAGTCGCAACTTTTGGGCCGATTTTGGGTACTCTATACATAGTATACACACAATGGAAACATGGCATACCCAGATTAAACAGAGGTCCCACCCAAAAGGGTCCGAACCCAAAGGTCACGAATCCTAAGGGACTGAAATCCTAAGACGCAAAATAAGCAAACGTGTCGATCTTGCACCTAAACGCTACGCCCTGAACCCTAGAAAAACATCCCCATGACACCTCCTGGGGCAGTTCAAAGACCTCTTCCTGCTCTTCTAAACTGCTCTGCGTAGCCGCTGGCAGAGGCACCTGGCGACTTTTCTAGGCTCCAAATGGTGCAAACAAATTCTCCTTATCAAGTTGGGTCGTAGTATCTGTGTGCAGCTTAGAATGCTGCATACTTGAGTGACCAAGCGTGCATGTGGCTACGATTAGCAGTATACCATGAACAACCTCCCAAATTGCCATATGATTGCCCACGCCATCTCTCGCAAAAGGGAGGGGGCGGGGCGCTCAAAACCCGATAGCTCAAAGACAAATGCAGAAAGAGATGCGTAGCCGATGATGCTTCGAACAATACCCCATTGAGGTACTAATTTCCCCTAAACAAACATGGGCCCTATGAAGACTAACATCCTCTCTAGAAGCAGATATCTAGGATTCCAGTCGCAACTGTTGGTCCCTTTTTGGGTACCCTATACATACTATACATTCTAGACATACCATGCATACCATGAAAACCTACAGAACAAATAATCACTTTGACCACCACTCTTCCCCTATGCAGGGAACATCTATTAGCCCAGTTGAGCTGGGGAGCTCCAGGGGAAAGAGCCCACTAGATCAAGGGTTTAGGGTTGAGGGGTTTAGGGTTTAAACAGAGGTCCCAGCCCAAAGGACTCCGAATCCTAAAGCACTGACAACCTAAACCCACAAACAAGCGAACGTGTCGATCTTCAACCTAAACGCTACACCCTGAACCCTGGAAGAACATCCCCATGGCACCTCCTGGGGCAGTTCAAAGACCTCTTCCTGCTCTTCTAAACTGCTCTGAGTAGCCTCTGCCACCTGGCGTTTCTTTGAAGGGCCAGATACTGCTAGAAATTATCTGAATCAAGTTGGGTCGTAATATCTGTATTCAGCTTAGAATGCTGGATATTTGAGTAACCAATAGCCTGCCTGTGGCTACGATCAGCAGTATACCATGAGCAAGCTCCCAAATTGCCATATGATTGCCCACGCCATCTCTCGCAAAAGGGAGGGGCGGGGCGCTCAAAACCCGATAGCTCAAAGACCAATGCAGAAAGAGATGCGTAGCCGATGATGCAGGTACGAATTTCCCCTAAACAAACATGGGAAGCCCAAAATGGGCCCTATGAAGACTAACATCCTCTCTAGAAGAAGATATCTAGGATTCCAGTCGCAACTGTTGGTCCCTTTTTGGGTACCCTATACATATTATATATACTATACATTCTAGACATACCATGCATACCATGGAAACCTACAGAACAAATAATCACTTTGACCACCACTCTTCCCCTATGCAGGGAACATCTATTAGCCCAGTTGAGCTGGGGAGCTCCAGGGGAAAGAGCCCACTAGATGAAGGGTTTAGGGTTGAGGGGTTTAGGGTTTAAACGGAGGTCCCAACCAAAAGTGTCCCCGCCCAAAGGACTCCGAATCCTAAAGCACTGACAACCTAAACCCACAAACAAGCAAACGTGTCGATCTTCAACCTAAAAGCTGAACGCTGATCCCTGAAGAACATCCCCATGGCACCTCCTGGGGCAGTTCCAAGACCTCTTTCTGCTCTTCCAAACTGCTCTGCGTAGCCTCTGCCACCTGGCGTTTCTTTGAAGGGCCAGATACTGCTAGAAATTATCTGAATCAAGTTGGGTTGTAATATCTGCGTGCAGTTTATTTAGAATGCTGGAGACTTGAATAACCAAGTAGCCTGCCTGTGACTACGATGAGCACTACCCATGAACAACCTCCCAAATTCCCGTGTGGTCGTCCCTCCTGGAATAGGTAAATTCAACCATCTCTCGCAAAGGGGGGTGGGGGAGGGCGTTCAGAACTCGATAGCTTAAAGGCCAAGGCAGAAAGAGACGCACAAGCGACGAAACTTCTGACAATACCCCATTCAGGTACTAACTTCCCTTAGACATACTTGCAAGCCCAAAACAGGCCCTAGGTAGACTAACGTCCTTTCTAGCAGAAGATATCCAGGTCATAACTTTCGGCCCCCTTTTGGGTACTCTATACATACTGTACACACAATGGAAACCCAAAAACCGACGATCACTTTGACCACAACCATGCAGGGAACATCTATTGGCCCAGTTCGAGCTGGGGAGCCCCAGGGTCAAGAGCCCAGAGGTCCGACAAGACTACCCAGCAGAACATGGCATACCTACAGCAAACAGAGGTCCCAACCAAAAAGGTCCGAAATCCAAGGTTCCCCAGTCCTGAAGCACTGAAATCCTAAACCCACAAAACAAGCAAACGTGATGATCTTCAACCTAAACGCTAAACCCTGAGCCCTGGAAAAACATCCCCATGGCACCTCCTGGGGCAGTTCAAAGACCTCTTCCTGCTCTTCTAAAGTAGCCTCTGGCAGAGGCACCTGGCATGTATTTGAGGCTCCGAATGCTGCTAGAAATCATCTAAATCAAGTTGGGTCGTATGAGTGCTGGTAATTTGAGTAACCACGTAGCCTGCCTGTGACCACGATGAGCACTACCCACGAACAACCTCTCAAATTCCGAAATGATCGCCTCTCCTTGAATTTGGAAATTCAGCCATCTCTTGTACAGGGGGGGCGGTGCCTTCAGAACCTGCTAGCACAAGATCAAGGGCAGAAAGAGACGCACAAGCGACGATACCATGCTAGCCCAAAATGGGCCGTATGAAGACTAACATCCTTTCTAGCAGAAGATGTCGAGGATTCCAGTCGCAACTTTTGGAGCCCTTTTTGGGTACTCTATACATAGTATACACACAATGGAAACATGGCATCCCCAGATTAAACAGAGGTCCCACCCGAAAGGGTCCGAACCCAAAGGTACCCGAATCCTAACACACAAAAGAAGCAAACGTGATGATCTTAACCCTAAACGCTAAACCCTCAAGAAGATTTCCCTGGCACCTCCTGGGTCAGTTCAAAGACCTCTTCCTGCTCTTCTAAACTGCTCTGCGAAGCTTCTGGCAGAGGCACCTGGCGATTCTTTTGTATATGTTCGATACTCGGGCAACCAAGTAACTTGCCTGTGGCTACGATGAGTACTACCCACGAACAACCTCTCAAATTCCGAAATGATCGCCTCTCCTTGAATTTGGAAATTCAGCCATCTCTTGTACAGGGGGGGCGGTGCCTTCAGAACCTGCTAGCACAAGATCAAGGGCAGAAAGAGACGCACAAGCGACGATACCATGCTAGCCCAAAATGGGCCGTATGAAGACTAACATCCTTTCTAGCAGAAGATGTCGAGGATTCCAGTCGCAACTTTTGGGGCCCTTTTTGGGTACTCTATACATAGTATACACACAATGGAAACATGGCATCCCCAGATTAAACAGAGGTCCCACCCGAAAGGGTCCGAACCCAAAGGTCCCCGAATCCTAACACACAAAACAAGCAAACGTGATGATCTTAACCCTAAACGCTAAACCCTCAAGAAGATTTCCCTGGCACCTCCTGGGTCAGTTCAAAGACCTCTTCCTGCTCTTCTAAACTGCTCTGCGAAGCTTCTGGCAGAGGCACCTGGCGATTCTTTTGTATATGTCTGCAGTTCAGAATGCTTGATACTTGGGCAACCAAGTAACTTGCCTGTGGCTACGATGAGCACTACCCATGAACAACTTCCAAATTCCCATATGATTGCCCACCCTGGAATTGGTAAATTCAGCCATCTCTCGTAAAGGGGGGGCGGGGCGTTCAGAACCTCACAGCTCAAGGGAAAGGGCAGAAAGAGACGCACAAGCGACGATACTTCTGACAATACCTCATTGAGGTACTAATTTCCCTTAGACATACCTGCAAGCCCAAAATGGGTCCGATGAAGCTAAAGTCCTTTCTAGCAGAAGATGTCTAGGAGTCCAGTCGCAACCTTTGGTCCTCTGTAGGGTACTCTTTACATACTATACATGCAATGGAAACCCGAAACAGACAATCGCTTTGACCACCACCCTCCTCCCATGTGAGCTATAGTCTAAACTCCTAGTATCCCCCTTAATAACCCATATAGTTGTGCCCCATATAATCCCCTATATAACCCCCTTTAAGGAGTTTAGACCCTAAACCCTAAACCCCTAAATCCCTAAATCCCTAAACCCTATGTAATCCCCTATATAAGCCCTTTTAAGGAGTTTAGACTACAGCTCATGTAGGGAACATCTGTTAGCCCACTCGAGCTGGGGTGCTAATTGGTGGAGAGCCCAAAGGTCCGACCCTAAACCTCCCAAGTACCCTAAAATAGGGTCTATGTAGCTTCTATTTGGGGATACTCAGGGTCTATAGAGGGTATAGCATGGCGACGCAGCATGACATGGCGTACCTAGATTAGACACAGGTCCCGTCCCAAAGGGTCCAAAACCCAAGGTTCCCAATGCGAAAGCACTGACAGCCCAAGACACGAAACAAACAAACAAACAAACATGTCGATCTGAAACCTAAAAGGCTCAACCCTGAACCCTGAAGAACATCCCCCTGGCACCTCCTGGGGCAGTTCAAACACCTCTTCCTGCTCTTCAAGACTGCTTTGAGTAGCCTCTGGCAAAGGCCCCTGGTGATTCTTTAAGGCGCTTGATGGTGCTAGAAATTATCGAAATCAAGTGGGTCGCAGTAGCTGTGTGCGGTTCAGAATGCTGGATACTTGAGCAACCAAGTAACCTGCCTGTGGCTACGATGAGCACTATCACGACCTACCTACCCGTTTACTTACTTACTTACGTACTTACTTACTTACTTACTTATTTACTTACTTACTTTACTTACTCACTGACTTACTTACTTGCTTACTTACGCGGGCTTGAGGGAGTGGGCTTACTAACTAACTAGCTTACTTACTTACCTACTACTTTACTCACTTACTTACTTGCTTGCTTACTTACTTCCTGGTGCTTCAGGGAGCATGGGGAGTGCATTCTGATAATCATCCCTAAATAATTCTGACGTCTACCCCTAGATCGTTCCCAAGTTCACTCCCCCACTCTGCGCTTACCACCACCTGTAAGGCTAGGGGGATTTAGGAAGGAGTTTAGTAATGGGGATGTAAGTGGGTTTACTATATGGGTTATAGGGGTCATTAACCTACTGACTAAGTCCTCCCCCCCTCCAAGCAGTATCACTACCGTCGAATTCTGGAAGAAGGCGTAACCCTAAACCCTAAACCCCGGCCTGCGGCGGCCTACCCTCCCCCGTTGAAAGGACTGCAGCCTACGTAGGCTCCATGTGAGCTACAGTCTAAAATTAGGGTTTAGGGTTTAGGGTCCCTTAACGACGCCTATAGTAGTCCCCTATATAACCCCCCTATATCACCCCTCTTTCAGGAGTTTAGATTATGGTTCCATGTGAGCTACAATCAATATTTCCCACATAAATCCTGGACATGGACTCCTATTTTATATTAAACTACCAGAGGGACCTTTATGTCCACCCTTACTGGCCCTAAACCCTAAGCCCTCAATCCTAAACCCTAAACCCAGAATGTCTTCACTCTCTGTATGGGGCTCTCCGGCAAGAAAAGCATCCTTCAATTCCTCAGGCAGCGGTTCTGCATTTGGGCTTTCCGAAAGAGGGTTTAGGATTTAGGGTTAAACCTTAAACCCTTAACCCTTTAGGGTTCGAGAAGCCCCTAGCAATCGCTACCAAAGCTGAATCAATCTTGACCCCAAATCAGGGTTTAGGGGTTAGGGGCCCTGAGCTCTAGACTCTGCAGCTTAAACCCTAACCGCTACACCCAAACCACACATCCCGAACTCTTATTTCTAAAGCCTATACATCCATCTGTATCCCAATATAATCCCTAGTTTGGACCGCTTTGAAGGGGCCTAGGCTCTCCTGCCCTAAGCTGGGATGTTGTGAAGGCACTAAGAGTACATTGCCACATCGCCGATATCCAACAAGAATGGTCCCTTTAAAATACTGACTGAAATTAAGCTACCCCAAACCCTAAACCCTAAAGCCTAAACCCTAAAACCCTAAACCCTATATCCCTAAACCCCTAAACCCTAAACCCCTGAACCCTTTAAGTTCCTCCTGCAACAAGTTCGAAATCGGCCTCGTTCACATCGTCAGAGGCCTGCTCTACTGCAGCCGACTCTTCGCTTTCAGAACCTCTCCGTCTAGGAAGGTAGGTTTAGGGTGTAGGGTTTAGGGTTTAGATTTAGTTTTTAGGAAGGGTTCAGGGATTTAGGGTCTAGGGGTTTTAGGGTTTAGACCTTTGGGTTTATCGTCTTGAGTTTCAGTGTTGTTGGAGTTGAGGCTTTAGGGTTTGTTTCTGGTCTATCGGGTTTAGGGTTTAGAGTTTGAGGTGTTGGGCTTCTGAGCGCTTAGAGCTTTTGCAGGTTTTAGGGATGTAGCTTCGGGGTCTAGACTTTAGAGCTTGACTTCAACAACGTTCTACCTAAGATTCTGCGGTTCAAGGTTTAGAGAGGGGGTTTGGGGGGTTGAGTTTCAGTCTAAGATTTTGTGTTTAGGGGTTAGAGATCGGTGTCTAAAGGGAGCTTACGCACATGACAGTTCCAGAATGGCGGAAATCTTCAGTGGATGCGGGCTCAGTGACT